TTCAAATTAGAGAAAAGTGAGACTGGCCCTAGTGTCACAATGACACATAGCCTCAGGGCACCAAAAGACCCAACGGGTCAAAGATTTGTGGACTGTTGGTTTAATATTTCTTTATTCTTTTTTATTTTTATTTTTGAGACAGAGTCTTGCTCTATCACCCAAGCTGGAGTGCAGTGGCTCTTTCTTGGCTCACTGAAACCTCCACTCCCGAGGTTTAAGCAATTCTTCTGCCTCAGCCTCACTAGGAGCTGGGATTACAGGTGCCCGCCACCACACCCAGCTAATTTTTGTATTTCTAGTAGAGATGGGGTTTTGCCATGTTGGCCAGGCTGGTCTTGAACTCCTGACCTCAAGTTATCTGCCTACCTCAGCTTCCCAAAGTGCTAGGATTAGAGGTGTAAGCCACCGTGCCTGGCCCTCTTTATTTTCATCTGAAACAATACTGAGTGACTTTCTAATGTGAGTCATACTTTTTCTAACTCTTCCACTACAGTGGGATCCCCCAAATCTAAGACCCCCCTGAGCTGGCATTGCTGGGCAGCAACCTGGCTTTTTAAGGCAAGAACCCTGGGCTCTGATGACAGCCAATCACAACTTTCTTGCTCCATTTGAGACGCTGAAGGGGCTCTCTGGTTATTATAAGACAGATTAAATTGCAAGCAAGTAAATTTCTTGAGAGACTTTCCATAGCCATGTGACAATATCACATACTCTTTTTCTTTTATTGCAATATGCACATGTTATCTTCTGAATAGGGACACACAGATCCAAGTACGTCTTTCTGAAGAATAATAGACCAAAGTTGTTAATCTGTTTTTTCTTAAAGAAAAGCTTATTAATACCAGATGAGTAGAAGTACAAAGTCAAAATGACTAAGAATCTCCTATTATAAGACCACAAGACCACAAACTCACAAAATCAGAAACAGGAGAAGGAAGAGAAAAGACAGAAAAAGAATTGGGAAGAAAGTAGAGAAACAGGCTTCAGCATTTAAGTACTCCTGTGGCTTGAATGGCAAGATGCCCTTGGAGACTTGAAGAAGCAGCACAGTGAGAAATCAATCAGACGCTACAAGCTTGAAAAAGAATGATAGAGTGCTGTGCCCTGGCCAGAATGCCTGATGGGGGCTGGGAGTTGCACATGTCTCTAGGAAATATCTACCTGCTGAAGACTTAGTCTCTGAGGTCTAATTTTCCCCTCTTCGTTAAACCTCAGTTGTTGGCAAGAGACTATGGAAGTTTAGAAAAACCACTGGGCATTGCTTTTTATATGCTCATCTGATTGAGGCCACTGAGGCAGACCCACTGACATTCCCTGGTGTCCAGGAAGGTTGATAACCACTGCAACATATGTAGGATGCTGTCAAGGTTTTGTTGTCTGATTTTTAAAACAAAACTAGCATTCTTTATGGGGGGTTTTTGGCTTATTATTCTGATACAGGAAATTAAGATAAAAGCAAATTAACATGTGTAGGTAGCTTCACTCATCCCCTGCCCCTTTCCACTTCCTAATAACTTCATTCTGTCCTTTCATGAAAGAGCCAAGGAGATAACTCCCCATCTAGTGAGTGAATAATTAATTCCAATTTTCTCAATCTCTTTAGAGTTGTACATGTGAAGATTTGGTGACTTTTTACATCTCCAATATAATGTTCTCTATCACAAGTGCTTCTTAAATGTCCAGGCTATAGATATGACACCCAGGCAGCTTTCCTTTCTTTTGGACCACTAGAAAGACAAATGGTTTCCCTGTCCAGCAGGGTAGGGTGGGGCACTGCTGAGTACAGAATCATACAGAGAAGCCTCTGATGGTGGCAGAAGTCATGTATGGTGTTGGAATCTGTAATATCACAGCATAAATTGAGAAGAGAAGTAAAAGGCAAGTTTGAGTTAAATCTATTCTGCCCTTCTGCTATGTTCCTGTGGCACTGAGACTTGTTCTACATCACGATGGAAGAATTGTCTGTCTAGGAAACAATCCATCCTGACTCTGATTTGATTTATCTGCACAATGACAACACTGCAAGGTTCTTGAATTGCCTCATGGATTAAAGACCCCTTAGAGATTGAGCTTCAGACAGTGTATACAGGCACCATGATAACAAACAGACAAACGATACAAACCAGAGAGCCAGGAAACAGACCTGTGTACATATGCGAGCTAGTTACATGACAGACATGGCTTTGCAAGTCAGTACAGACAGACTCCTCAGAAAATAGTGTTGAGATCATCGATAACATATAAAAAAAACAATGACAACAAAAACCTCTTTCTACTTGAACACAAAAAATAAATTCCAAGTGCATTAAAGATCTGCCTCATTGAGGGGCGGGGTGAGGATTCAAACAAAATACGAGAGCATAGCTTTATAGTCTTGAGGTATGGAGGGAACTCTTAGAATGCAGGTATCAATAATGAAAAATTGATAAGTCTCACTACATTAAACTTTCTGTGCCCTAAACAACATGGAAAGGTAAGCCACAGATTGGGATGTTTGTAACATTATTAGATATACAAATTTGAAAAGGAAAAGATAAATAACCCAATAGAAAAATAAAAAATGACACGAACAGGTTATTCACAGAAAATAAACCCAAATATCTTCAAATAACACAGTTATTTTCAGCTTAATTAATAATCAGAATATTGCAAATTAAAACAACAGTGAAGTTGCCTTGTTATACCATCAGACTGGTGAAAAATAAGAACTCTAATTACAGTTGACATTTGGCAAAGATGAGATGCAATGGATACTTTCACATACAAATTTTTGTGACCACTTTGGGAAGAATTTAGCCTTATTAAGCCATGTTGAAAGTGCACTTGTTCTTAGACTCAGCATTTTCACATCTATATAGACAACTTGAAGCAATTTGCATACATGTACACAAGGAGACATTCGGAAATATTAATTCCATCATTTAGTAAATGTTAAAAATGGAAACAACTTAAATGACCATCAAACAGTAGAATAAAAAAGTTGTAACATATCTATAAAGTGTAATATCACGTGGCAGCTAAAACTGGACTATAACTCATGAATAAATAACACATAATAATGTTGTATTAGCATTAACTATTATTTTGCTGTAAGTACTACTATAAGCACTTTGCATGTCAATATTAATTCATATAACTCTCATAACAACCCTGTGATGGGGGTACTATTTGATAGATGAAGAAAGTAAGAAGCAGAGAAGTTTAAGTATTTAAAGGTCTCATAGCTGTTGGTGGCAGAGTTGGGCTGTGAACCAGCCCACCTACTCCATAATAGGTGCTTTAAACACTGTATTTGCCTCACAAAACAAGCAGAATGCTGGGAAACAAAATATAAAGTTGAGCAAAAAGTTCCATTAGGAAGATGATACATATGAGTCTCTATTACTTAGGGTTAGGTTCAGCCACATTTAACAACTGCTAAAACAATAATAATAAGTGGCTTAAACAAGATAAAGATTTCTTTATAACATAAATCTAGAGGTAGGCAGTCCAAAGTTTACATGGAGGGATCAAGGTCATGAGGAACCCAGTTGTTTCTGTGTCATCATCCTTAGCCCTGCTTTCCATCATCAAGGTGGTGTCATGAACCAGAAGACTATTGGGGCTACGTCCTCCTCAGTCATGTTTCACATAGGAAGAGGAAAGGAACGGGGAAGAAAAGCAGAAGATATACCTGTCAGCTGAGTCACTTTAAGGAGCCCAGTGACCTTTGCTGTGCCCTTATAGCCACAAGAAGAGGGGGGACACGTAGTCCTTTTTTGGACAAATTGCTGATCAGAATAAAGTGCATGTTCTGTAAGCGAGATAAAAGAAAATATTGAGTAGGCAACTAACAGTTTGGTTATAAATACTATTTGTATAAGGTTTCAAACAATGCTATATATTGTTTATGCAAAACTTTATTGTTTTGAATTTTATATATACATATGATAGCAGAAAAACATGTGGAAATAATACCAAATTTAAGACAACAGTTACGCTTGCAGAAGGAGAGGAATTGGATGGGAATACACAATAAACCTCAACTATATCTCTTTTTTCAAATAATCTAAAACAAAAGTGACATAATGTTAAACTTTGACTAGTTGGGTAGAGAGTAAGACCTCATGTGTCTTTGGGGAGTATATGTGTATGTCCAATTCCCTTCTTCTTTTGTTTAGTTCTCTTTTTCTGTCTTATTTTTCTCTCTTCCTGTAGAAAGAGGTCTGAATCCCTGAGAACTGCCTTCCCTGCTAAAAGTTCAAGCCCTCAGTAAACTTGGGACAGTTATTTCCAAAGTGAAGCATTTTTGGAGAGCGCCTGCTTTAGCAGTGATATATTGGTTGAAAGCTTATCAAATATCACCAAATAAGACTTTCACCAATATGAATTTATTTAACCCTCTCAAGAGCTCTGAGAGCTAAAACTATTATTATTTCCATGTTACAGAAGAGGAAACCAAGGCTCAGTAAAGTTAAATATCTTCCCTAAAACCCCACAGTTCATAGGAGCATGTTCCAGGTTGGAATCCATACTTGTCCGACTTCAGAACTGGGGCCCAAAACTGCCATGCTATATTGAGACAATGAGTTTTATCAATGTCCAGTCACACACGCTGCTCCATCACCTAGTAGACTTCAAGGAAGGGCTCTCTGGTATGTACCCAAAACTAGTCACAAGGGATAAGGTGGGGTGCTGAATCTGGAATGAAAACATAGGTTGGATTTATCTGGTACTTGGTGGGATCTCAGTTGAGGGGGCACAGAAGGTTAGGCAGGTGGAGATGAAGGAGAAACCAAGCAAGGTGCTAATTGCTCAGAGAGAGGATTTGGTCTAGAAGCTAAAGAAATAGAAGGACTTCTTAAGCTTTTTGTTATTCATGGTCTTGCCTCTGCAGGGTGGAAAGCAGCAATGCGCTTGAGGTAGAAACTTTGGCCAGGAATGGGATACATACACTGATGTCCCTAGTGCCATTTCTTTCCCAAATCTAAACTAGGTCATGGCATTAATCACTCTGCATTCTCCTTGTCTTAGTCCATTTAGTATTGCTCTAACAACACAATGGTCTCAGAGTATCTGAGACTGGGTAACTTACAAAGAAAAGAAGTTTATTTAGCTTATAGTGCTGCACACTGAGAAGTTCAAGGACATAGCCCTGCCTTTTGTGAGAGCTTCTGTGCTGCATCGGAACATGGTGAAGAAGGTCAAAGGGGAAGAGTATACACACAGAGAGACAAAACCCCAGGGATGTCCTGACTTCTTAAGAACCCACTCTCATAGGAACTAATCCTTTTTTTTTGTGAGAACGAATCCAGCAACATCATAGCAAGAACTCACTCACTACCTTGGGAATGGCACCAAGCCACTCAAGAGGGATCCAGCTCCATGGCCCAAGCACCTTTCACCAGACTCCACCTCCCACACTACTGTACTGGGGAACAAATTTCAACATGAGTTTTGGTAGGGACAAACCAAACCTTAGTAACCCTCTAGAGTGCTCCTTGTAGACAGCAACTGCATCTGGTTCAAGATCCACCACAGTCCTGGCACATAGCAGGAACTTGAATGTTGAATAAACAGATGAATAAACAAAGGAATAAGTAAACTCAACAGGATTGAGGTTCACCAGCATTTGCTGGACTGGGACTGAACACTTAGCCAATAAATTAAAAAATTCCATGAGGTTGTTGCAAAAGTAATTGGGGTTTTTACCATTAAAAGTAATGGCAATACCTGCAACTACTTTTGCAACAACCCAGCAGTTCCTGGAAGGCAAAGACCAGTGCCTGATTTGTGTTTGTAGGCCTTGCCCAGCACTATGCCTACAGTAGTGCTTGCTGAATGGTCACTTAGTGGAATGGAAAAGAGTTATTAAATAAAAACAGAGATATTTAACAATGGGCTGTAATGGCAGAGGGCATTCAAGAGATCCATATGTAAAGAGCCAGTGACTTATTTGAATATGATCTTAAAACTCCAATATAAACATTATTATCCTCATTAGGAAAAGTAAAATAATATGGCCATGATTTGGTCCATTCTATGTGCCAGGTGCTGCTGGGTACACTATCTCTAATATTTACCATAACCTTTCAAGGGAAGTGTGATTATTACCATTTCCCAATGAAGAAACTCAGTCCTAGAAGGCTAAGCAACTTCCTGAAGCTCAAATTATGAAAGGCCCAGGCAGGATTTATATGTAGGTCTCTTGGGCCAATGATTCTGCCATCCCAAGAAAAACAAACAGACCTGTGAATGGTGGTTGAACTTTTTCCTTTCACTGATCTAATTGCAGCATCAACAAATGGCAGGAAAGAAGTTGCATTTCTTCCTACAGTAAAGATTCTGAAATGTCCTGTAACTCCTCCCAAGGCACTGGTGATTTTGTGGCTATTCTGAATTTACTTGAATTGCAACTGCTAACCTAATTGTTTTCTTCTGGCAAATCTAGTAAACGTAATATAAGCCCTTATTTCCCCTCGGTGTGATGTTATGAATTGGTATTATGCTTATGGGAACTCTTTGTATACCATAAAAATACCAACACTAATCATGAAAATAAATGAAGGGGAAAATAATCCCCAAAATATGTGCCTTTGCAACATTTATTAGAAAGCAAAAATGAAACACTGAATGTAAAGCCTATAGTAAAATTTCTTTTCTTTCTTTTTAAAGAGGCTTAAAAAAACTGAGTGCAATGGAGTTTAAAATGAAAACACTGGCTTTCTGTCCTGGGAAATATGTGTCTTTACAAGCTTCTTAAGTACTATTCTTTGCTCCAGGGTCCTCTGGACTAAATTAAAATTAAAGTCAGCTCTCTTACAACTTTTCTTACGAGTCAATATGCCTGAAATCTTCTTCAACCAGGCGTTGGCTAAGAAATCTTGATCCTTGTTGTGTGATATAAAATATTCTTTGCAATTACCACCTTCTTATTCCAACAGTTTTAGTGTAGTTCTCTGGAATATTCTTCCTTTTCTTCTTTCCTGTATTTGCAACTTTTTCTTGAGTTTACAGCCCTCTCTACCTGAAAAGCTCAAACCATCCTTTCCTCATGCTGAAAATTTCTTCCTGGATGTCTCACCACATGGGTTCTTAGCTTTTCAAAGAGAAATGTTGCCTTGGTCAGCATTGTAGCTTTGGTAGAGAAGAATGTAATTTGCAATACTGCTTACAAAGGTCTGCGATCAAAAATTATTCCCTCCCACAACAAAGCCCATTGCTTTTTCTTATTACTGTTGATTACACTGGCCTGATTTCAATTCCCTCAGCTAATAATTGGCATAAGAGTTAGTTGCAATAGGTAAGCCTGTTGTAAATACAAGTTGGGGTTGTCATGAAGTGTGTGTGTGTGTGTAAATATTTATAATAAAAAACAGCTTAATCCTGGAAAGTTGCCAGCTGGGCCTTCATGGGTTGGAGACTGTGCACACATCTTGCTTTTTTTGAATCACAGAACAGGATGTCAGAATACCTTGGGGTTCATGGTCCATGGTGTTCTGTCCTTATGGGCTGTTAACGTGTCCTGCACAATGAATATCCGTAGGAAATCATGATGATGTTGACTTGATTCATAATACTGATTTTTATCAAAATAAAATAAGGTTTTGAGGTATAAAATGGATTCTACTAGATATCTAATCCTGCCATGTCAGGGCTAATGCACTCACTTTTGCCTCATTTAGGCTCCAGCCCATTGCCACAAGTGTCACTGCATAAAGGAAGGAGTGTGACAGAAAGAATTCTGAACAGGCTGCTGCAGTGCCCCTCAAGATTCCAGTGAAGCTTCTGAATATTAAACTTTTAAATCTCTGTCATTTAGGCCAGTCATTATCTTTAAAGTTGCAGATGACTGGGAGATGAGGAAAGGAAAACGTGAGAGCCAGTTGGAAAAGGCTAAGAGCATGGGGCTACCGTGCTAGTCAGCTAAGATGGGCCACATTCAAGCTGGGGAGTGGGTTCCTAGGCCAGTCTTGCAGAGAAACACGAAGAAGAGCTAAGAGACCAGACCAATGGCTGCAAAGGCTTCTTTTAACTTTATATTCCCCGATTACAATTCTATACAGGGCTGACTGCTCTCTTGGTTCTTGGATTCTATGAGATGCTCCTGATTCCTTTCAATATGTCCTCCCTTATAAGACAAAATTAAGAAACAACTCCAATGCAGGCCCTCTCTTGGACCCATTATGCCATTTTGCAAACGACTGGATCCAGGCTACCTGGATGTAAATCCCAGCTCTGCTTCTTACTAGCTGTGAGTCTCACTTAACCTCTCAGGATCTCAATTACCTTCTTTGTGTGGGGATAATAATAATATGTACTTCTTGGGTTATGAGGATTCCATGAAATAATATTTCTAAAATATTAGAACAACGAGTGCCTCATAGGAAGTATGTTTGTCGTAAGTGGCTGTTAAGTAAATACATCCAAGCAAACACACACATTTTAAATAGTCCATGAATTCTTATGTGTCTATTAATCTGGGTTAAAAATCTCATAATTTTGATTAAAATTTGTGTTTATACTCAGAATGGGATGTTATTTCTTTGAAGATGACATTCCCTGGAATATCATCTATACAGAGACTTAGAACCATAAATTAAAGGTAAAATAATGAATTTAGGTCATTTCTTCTTCCCCCAGCTAAAATCAGGGGAAATTATTGTTGAAGCTTCACTTTGTATTCATTCATTCATACCATCATTTGTTCTGCTTATTCTCTTCCCACTGGGTTGTTTTAGCACCATGTGAACGGATCATCAGTTCCCTTATGAACCTGGTTGCTACTTTAGTTGCTCCCAAGAATTTGAAATATTCATTCCAGACCAAACAGCCTTTCTGCTGGCAGCAAGCATGTCAAAACACAGGGAAAGATGCAGAAGATTAAAAAAAATAATAAGGCACAGAGAACAGGACTTGCCATACCAAATGGAGCAAATCTTATTTACAAATGACCTCTAACCTCTGACAGCAGACCAAATAAAGAAGCATCTGTCATCACTGGGAACATCCAATCCTCTTCACCCTGACAAGGGGCCTCCAAAGACTCAATCCCATTTCAATCTAATTGGGTCCTTGCCCTCTCCTGCTTCCCTCCAGCCCTGCACGGCAAGCCAAACCATCTTGGGATAGAAAGCCAGCCCAGAGATGTGCGACACCTTGACAGTAGAAGCAGAGGGTGGAGGCATGGCAGCAGCTCTGCTGATTACAGGACATGCAGGTGCATTGATTTCAGCTTCCTGTGGAGCATGCTGAGGTTACTGTCCATGGAATATCAGACCTTTCACTGATGGCTGTGTTTAGATAGAACTTTTCCTTTCACCAAGGAATAGCACACATAGAAATAAAGAAAACATGGTACATATACACCATGGAATACTGTGAAGCCATAAAAAAGAAAGATTATGTCCTTTGCAGGGACATGAATGGAGCCATTATCCTTAGCAAAGTAACACAGGAACAGAAAACCAAATACTTGCATCTTCTCATTTATAAGCGGGAACTAAATGATGAGAACACATGGGCACAGAGAGGGGAACAACACACACTGGTACTTATTGAAGAGTGAAGGGAGGAGGAAGAGGATCAGGAAAAATAATGGACACTAGGCTTAATACCTGAGTAATGAAATAATCTATACCACAAACGCCCATGGCACAAGTTTACCTGAGTAGCCATAATTCTATTTTTTTTTTTTTTAAGACGGGGTCTCACTCTGTCACCCAAGCTGGAATGCAGTGATGCAACCATAGCTCATTGTAACTTTGAACTACTGGCCTCAAGTGATCCTCCCACCTCAGCCTCCCAAAGTGCTGAAATTACAGGTATGGGCCACTGCACCTGGCCTCATTCTTACAACTATGTCAAGTTATTTCTCAACTGTACTCAGAACTGTCCCATGGCTTACTATACGTTCAGAGTAAAAAGTAAAGTACCGTAACTATAATTCCAACTATAATTCCTTTGTATTTGCATCCCGTAGTTACTCTGCAGTTAATACTGACAGCTCTACATATTCTGGCCCCTCCTCCCTTCTCTGACCCTCTTTCTAAGTTCCCCTTCTCTCCTGTTTAGTCTGCGCCAGCCACAGTGGCCTCCCAGTTGTTAGGGCACACAGGTCATGTGCCCCTTAAAGACTTCAAACCTGTGATTATCTCTGTCTTGATAACTGCGAACCTCCCTTGAGCACCTCCTCTGTTTCTTGCTCTTTTTAAAGAGAACTTCCTTAACCATCTTATTTAAAACTGTAAATTCCCTCCACTCTGAGAGCCTTTGTCCTCCTTCCTTGCATTTTTTTCTTCAAAGCATTTATCATCTGATGTAATGCATATTTTTACATTTTTTTGTTTGCTTATTGCCATTGCTTTTCACTATTAACATGTAAACTATATGAGAACAGGGATTTTTGTCTGATTTGTTCATTGCTTTTTTTCAGAATGCTTAGAATAGTTCCTAGTGTGTAGAAGACACTAAATAAAAATCTGTTGAATTAATGAAGTAAGGAAGAAGACCCATTCCTCTGACTTGGTAATAAAAAAGTTTAAGATTAAAAAAGATAATGATGTCTAATTTAGAAACAAAACAGGAGAAAGAACGACCGCAAAATAGATGAAGAAAGGAGGATATACTTATAGGGGAAGAATAATTTGAAGAGATGGCAGTCATAAAAGTAACCTGAACATATGGAAAGCAAAATCTTTGGTTGAGTTCACTTAAGTTCCATCTTCACTAATTACCCTGCTTTACTCACTAAGAATGTCTGTGACTTGGAGAAAACTACCTTCCTCACTCTAGACCTTGCAGTAAAATAAGGGCAGTGCATGAATGTTTAATCATCTTATCCAGATTTAATTTTCTGGATACATCACAGGCTAACTATGGGATTCCTAGGTAAAAGATGTACCAGCCTGTTGCCAATGATTATTCTGAATGCTACCTTGGTGCGAAGAGATGGATGGAAGGAAATGGCAAAATCTGTGACTCAGATTTTTTAATAGTCTGAAAACTGAGGCCCTGAACCAGAATTTTTTTTACTTTTTTCTTCATGGTTATAGTTCTGCAAAGAGAGGATATGTAATCAGGGAGGAATATGGGAGTAGGTGAAGGCATTTTTAGAGATAATAAACATGGAGGGCTAATCTCTATCATGGAATATGAGTCTGGGGAAGGTCTGCCTTTTCCCAAACCGCAGAACAATTCTAGGAAGCATCAGGAGAGCCACTGAGAGATGCAGGAGCCTAACTCAGGGTGGTGCAAGTTCTGTGGTCTCACTAAGACTTTGGTTCATAATATGGTCAATGTCACTCTGGGGTGCTTTAGACTCTTTCTCTGAATGATGAGTTTATTGTTTGCTCACACCAGGGATAAGTACAGGGTTTTTCTTAGGAAAGTTGCCTGGCATGCAAGCCCAGCCACATGAGCCCAGAAGAGAAGTCCAGACAAGACTATTGTGTAATCAAAGGTGAAACAGGCCCAGGCATCAGCATCAGCCTGAGCATTTTTGGAAAACACATTTTCATCTTCAATTTATACCAGACCTAGAGTGGAGCTAAGTCATTACAAAGTGTTAGTCCTGTTCATCCCAGCCCTGGACAGCTAGCTTTGTTAAACAGATGCCGTCAGGTGTTGTCTCTAGGAGGCAGGACATCCCAGGACTGCTGCAAGAATCTGGTTCCCTTAAATTTGGCATTTTCTTATTCACAGCACAATCAAGTGATATCTTCTTGTCCTGAGAGAAGATAGAAGGTTGAAAAGGGAAATAAAGAGAGAGCAAGGGGGTGGGGGAAGAAGGGAATGAGGAAGTAGTGGAGGAAAAGGAGGAGAGATGAAGAAGAGGAGGCTGTAAGTGTGAGCTCTCATTTATTAGGTACTGTGAAATGAAAATATCTTGGCCGCTTCAAGCTGAGAACTACTCAGGGCAAATCCTGCCTCCCATTCTATCAAACTCATCCGTCTGCTCAAGTAGATAGATGCATATTCTGATTGCTTCCTTTGGAAAAAGGGATAACGGGGGGTGGGGGCTGGGGAGGGATAGCATTAGGAGAAATACCTAATGTATATGACGGGGTGATGGATGCAGCAAACCACCTTGGCACATGTATATGTATGTAACAAACCTGAACGTTCTGCACATGTACCCCAGGACTTAAAGTATAATAATAGTAATAATAAAGAAGGCCAGGAAGGATATAGACACAGGGCTCCGTTTGGTAAAGAAGTTAACCTTGCTCAAGGGAGGTCTGGCCTTTGTCCTTGGCTTCTGGTAATCTCTGAGCCCTTGGAATGTTATCCCTGAGGGCATTTTCATTTTTATTTGCCTGGGAGTATTGGGTCCTGCCAAATATATAGTTTAATAATATGATTTAGGGTGGAAACTTTGGGTCCCATGGTATCAGCTCAACTTCCAGAGGGGTTAGAGACTGAAATCAGCTTTGTGGGCATACAACCTATAAAGGAAAATTAAAAAAAAATCAGGACCCCAAACTCCTTATGCCAAAGGGAAGGTTAAGCCTACAACTCAAGTCATGCTATACTGTCTTCCAAATGATGAGCTGTTACTAGCATTATATATTAGCCATACCACCAGGAAAAATGAAAGGTCTCAGGCATCTCTGAGTGTGACTGCCCTCACAGATAATTCATAAATTATTTTTTGGCCTCCTGTGAACAAGGACATGCCAACTGTAACTTTAGGTCTAAATCTAAGTCTAGCTCCTAAAACTAAAATCTGTTTGATTTCACACTGAAAACATAATTACAAGCTTATCTTCCCAGGTGTAGAAGAAAGCGAGTAGATCTGTCAGCTCTCTACCGACCCAGAGAAGTCTACGTAATTGATTCTTCCTTTACTCTTTTTCTTTTCCAACATTCACCTTATCTTATGTAAAATGTAGATTTACTGGCACTAACGAAAGTCTCATAAGAATGTGACCATTCATCTTACTGTCTACCCTCTCGTCTTCTTAGATGCCTTCCCCTCTTTAAGGAAATGTGTAAATACTAAACTTCCCTAAAATATCTTTGGAAAAATAGCCAGACCTATCTGTGGCTTGAGTTTTTCCCAGATGTGCCCTGAAGCTGGCTTAATAAACCTCAATTGATTGAGGTCTTTGCTTTAGTCACTTATTTCAGCTATCTAACCATATGTATGTGATAGAGCCCCAGTGCAAACTCTGGACGCCGCAGCTCAGGTGAGCTTCCCTGGTTGGCAACACTGTGTGTGTTGTTTCACACTGGCACTGTCCATGGCTCCATGGGAAGAGGACAGTGGGAACTCTGCCTTTGGGCCTTCCGTGGCCTCTGCCTAATGTGTCTCTTCTCTTGGCTGATTTTAATTTGTTATATATAGTTGGGTTTCTCTTCAAACAGCATGCCTGGTTCCCCTGTTCTTTATTCTTCAATTCCAAGTAACCCTCCCCCACCTTTGCTATGCCTTAACCTGTCTAAATATGCCTATGCATGCCACAGCCCCAGCTCACATTCCTTTCCTTATGTGGGAATAGGCTAGTTTTCTAGCCCCCCATAGGCAACCCTTTCCTCTTCCATCATGTGCCTACCTTATATAAGAAAGTTTAAATGTTTATCCAATTGGGATTAGATTGTGCGATCCAACCCTGACCAATGGGGAAAGACACAGAGGCAGAAGCTGCATTAGGAATAAAAACCCTACTCTCTTTTGCTCTGTGTGCTCTTGTGGTGGCCAGACCTGTGAGCAGCACCTTTCTGCAGAAGTAAATTTGCCTTGCTGAGAAACCCCTTAAGTACTTGTTTTCTTTGCAACTCCGAGCTTTTATTTTCAACACAATTGGTGTCCTTTCCATGTAATAAGACCTAATTACAGGTATTGATCGACTTACGACCTATGCAACTTACGACCATTCGACTTTACAACCACAATCACTAGCCACGACTGCTCCGTGTCTGGCAGCGCAAACGTTGCCCAGCTGGGTGTACGACAGTGCGGACCAGCTTCCGGCAGCACTACCATCTCCATGTGCACCATTTCAACTGTTATCCCAGACTCGGTATGGCAATTTGTGTTTTGTGTCTTGGATATTTTTCATCAAACGCCTCCCAAGATGTCTACCAAGAGAAAATTGTCTTTGTCTATGCCTCAGCCTGCCAAGAAGGAAAGACAGGCCATCGACCTCCTCACAAAAATGAAGGTAATTAAGCAGTATGAAGGGGGAAAGAAAGTGAATGTGATCGCACGTGATACGAAGTTGTCACACTCAATTGTGTCGACGATTTTGAAAGATAAAGAAAGAATTCGTGAAGCTGTGAAATGTTCTGCACTCATGCGAGCAGCAGTTATAACAAAGCAACGAAGTGGGCCCATCCACGAAATGGAGAAATTGCTATATATTTGGATGGAAGATCAAATTCAAAAACGGACACCATTAAGTCTTTTTACTGTGCAGATGAAGGCGAGAAGTCTATTTCAGACTCTGAAGGAGCATGCTGGAGAAGATTACAGTCAAGAATTTGTAGCAAGCACTGGCTGGTTCCAGAGATTCAAGAAAATATTCCAAATGCATAGTGTTCGAGTGACTGGAGAAGCAGTGAGTGCAGATGAGGAAGGAGCACGTAAGTTTGTTAACAGTCTGGATGAATTAATGACAGATGAGGGATATCTAGCAGAACAGATTTTCAATGTTGATGAAACTGGATTATTTTGGAAACGGATGCCAGCACGCACTTATATTCACAAAGAGGCCAAAAGCATGCCAGGATTTAAAGCATTTAAGGATAGGCTAACTCTGCTGCTTGGCGGGAACATCAGTTGAAGCCGTTCTTAATTTATCACTCAGACAATGCGCGTGCGTTCAAGAATGTTAACAAGCACACACTGCTTGTCTACTTTCCTTCTCAACGTAAAGCATGGATGACACAAGGATTGTTTGAAGACTGGTTTATGAACTGTTTTATTCCTCAAGTTCGAGAATATTGTTTGGAGAAAGATATTCCTTTCAAGATTTTATTGCTACTCGATAACGCGCCTGGACACCCACCACATCTAGGCGATCTCCATCCAGATGTAAAATTTGTTTTTCTCCCGCCAAACACGACTCCACTCATCCAGCCTACGGACCAAGGTTCGATTGCTACATTAAAGGCCAACTATCTCTGAACCACCTTCGCTCAAGCAATATCCGCTACAGATGCTGACTCAGAACTAACATTGCGAGATTTTTGGAAACACTACAACATTTTGATGTGTATCAAGAATATCGCTACTGCTTGGGAGGCTGTGACGACAAAGTGCCTGAATGGCATCTGGAAAAATTGTGTTAAGTGCTATGTTAATGATTTTGATGGATTTAACAGTGAACATGAACTTGAAATGATTGGGGGAAAATAGTAAAACTCGCTAAAGTTTGGAGTGTGAAATGGAAGATGTCAAAGAGTTGCTAGACAAATCCGGAGAACTTACAAATGAAGAGCTAATCGAACTGGAAGAAGAAAGAGTGGCGGAAGAAGAAAGAAGAGAAGCAGAGAAAGAAGAGGAGGAGACAGAAAGTTAGTTCACCACTAAGGGGTTATCAGACGGTTTATCTTCACTGAATAAACTTCTTATACATTTCGAAGCAATGGACCCAAGCATTGAACGATTTGCAAGGATTGAATGGATGGCGCATGATGTGTTTCGTCCGTATCATGAAATTTATGGAAAAAAAAAAACATACAACTCAGACAAAGCTCACCATGTTTATGAAAAAACCAACTCCAGTAACCCCAACTGCTGCCTCAGATGACGACATCAACGATCCGCAGCCAAGCACCAGTGGCCAATAAAATGTTTTGTACATGTTTATATATTTTGATGTGTTTTGCAATTGGGAAAATGTTTCCTATGGTATTTTTACACCTATATTTTGTATTTTTGTATGCACCTGTATTTTATAATTTTGTATGTTTTGCAAATATTAAACCAGTTGTACTGGTAATGCAGTGTTTTACTTAAACCTGACGAATGTAAAAATAAGAAACAAAATGGTGTAGAGATGATATAAATGGCATAAAATGAACAAAGAAAATTATGATATATAACAATAATGAAAGAAAATTATGATAAAATATGACTTAAAGATTTTTATAACATCATGTCACAGTACTGTACATATAGCCTGCTCAACTTACGACCAAATCACGTTACGACCAGTCTGTCGGAACCAATCATGGTCATAAGTCGAGCACTAGCTGTAATGGGATAGGGAATTGAGTCAGGGAAGCAGCTGAATATACTAAACAAGGGCTAACTAAATCGGAGTAGTGACACAAGCAAAGATGGAAGGAGTAAAAGAATTCAGGAGGTGTCAAAGGTAGTAGCAGTAGAAAGGACCTATGAGGAGGTTTTATTGGACTTGAAACATGAATTTCAACAGGTAAAGACAGGTCAAAGGGTCTTTACAAGAGTAGAAAATGGAAAGAAGAAAGGCACAGAGATTTGAAGTATAGAGTGTTTATGGAATGGCCCATAGCCAGCAGGTGGGTTGTAGAGTGAGGAAGGGAGACAGTGGGAACAGGAGAGATAGTGAGAAGGAAGGCCGAAGACAGAAATCAAAGCCCAGACAGCCTTGTCTGTCAAGTCAAGGCATTTTAGTCTTACTTGACAGCAATGAAGAGATTTTTGAAGAAGGAAGGATGTCTATACTTTGAAGCTATACTTTCTTCATTCTTGTTCCTTGAAACCTGGGGCTCCTTGAATCAGTGACCATAACAGTCATGCTAACAACAATAATATAAAAGCCCATAGTGTGCACTGTAGATTCTTCAAAGCATCATCACTTAAAAACAGCTTTTAACCACAGATTTAAGCTAGCTAACCATTAGGCACTATGCATGATGATTTATATAAATCATATAATGCTGACAAATCCCACAGTGAGTTCACCTGTTCTTGTTTTACAGATGTGGAGAGTGCAGCTCAAAGAAGGTAAGGTGTGTGCAGGGCCCCACAGCCACGGGCATCAGGACCAGTGCCCCACCTTGCTGAGGAGACTCAAGTCTGTGCTTTTAACTTTTATACCTACTTATTGCTATCTCATTCCATCGTTACCCTGAATGGAACAATATTTCTCTTCCTTAGATGAGGAACCTGAGGCAAATAAAGATTAAGTCATAAGTCCAAGGCCACACAACCAGGAATTCATTGGCTTCCTAATGTGCTTTCCCCTCACCCCACTTAATGGGAGTTGTTAACGATGCATACTAGACATAGCAAGCACAGCTGCTGTATGTGCTTCGGGCTGAATGAGATGCTGGGAAAATCAATATTTTTTTGTTGTTGGGCTGCATGACTGAGTGCAAAACGTGTTTTTCTTTTTTTCTTCTGCATGTGCACACTGCCCACAAAGTAGCTTCTTTGAAATTGCCCCTTTGCCTCCTAATAGCCCCTCTGGCCCCCTTGTATATTCTAGACACTCTCCAGGGTGTCTGTGCAGTAAGTGCCCTTCTTCTGAAAACTGCACCTTCCCACCCCCAGCAACATGTTTCTATATATGACCCACTCCTGTGAACATGGTTAAATGTTAATACATCCTCAAATCAGATAAGACAATTTAATCCTCTCCAGACTCGGAATTGGGGGAGAATCACTCTATCGGCAGAATGCTTGTGAATAGGATCTTGAGCCTCTGCTGCTGAGGCCCCTGGAGCTGTTCTGGCCCCTGTCCTTTGCGAGACCTGGTCCAGCCATTCTCTGGGTTCTCTGTATGACCCCATGAACCTCTCCATAATGCTTTCCTATCCCCTTTTCTCTAGTTTGATACTTAAACCAAAGTTTAAGTACCAAAGACACTTAACCAAGAAAATAGTTTCAGTTACAGAATCTATGGGGAAGATGTAACTGCTTTTCTATTCAACAGTAGTTTCTCTCATGATTTTCAGTTTATTTTAAATATTAAAAGTCTTAAACCAAGGACAGCTACCAAGATGAGTCAGCCTTGCTTGCAGTTTGTGAGAAAAGACGGGTAATTAACATGTTTCTAATGTGTTTAAGTTCAGAGCCACCATGTGGTCCTAACCCAATCTTCTGGAGCACATAGATACATAAAGAAAATATTATTAGAGCTAAAGAGAGAGATAGGCCCCAATACAATAATAGCTGGAGACTTCCATACTTCACTTTCAGCATTGGAAATATCTTCCACACAGAATATCAACAAAGAAACATTGGACTTAATCTGCATTATAGACCAAATAGATCTAATAGATACTTACAGAACATTTCATCCAATAGCTATAGAATACACATTAATTTCCTCACTGAATGGATAATTCTTAAGGATAGACCATATGTTAAGTCACAAAAAAGTCTTAAAATATGCAAAAATTGAAATAATACCAAGCATCTTCTCTGACCACATGGAATAAAAGTAGAAATCAATAAAAAGATAAATTTTGGAAACTATGAAAACACAGGGAAATTAAACAATGTGCTCCTGAATGACCAGTAGGTAAAGAAAGAAATTAGGAAGGAGATTAAAAAAAATTATTGAAACAAATGATAATGGAAGCACAACATGCCAAAACCTACGGGATATAGCACAAGCAGTACTAAGAGGGAAGTTTATAGCTATAAGTGCCTATAAAGGGGAAAAGCTTCAAATAAATGATCTAATGACACATCTTAAAGAGCTAGAGAACCAGGAGCAAACCAAACCCAAAATTAGTCAAAGAAAATAAATAATAAAGATCAGAGCAGAAACAAATGAATCAGAAAGGATACAAAAGATCAATGAACAAAAACTTGTTTTTTTTGGAAAGTTAAACAAAATGGACAAACCTTTAGCCAGGGTAAGAAAAAAAGAGAAGATCCAAATAAAATGAGAAATGAAAAAGGAGACATTACAACAGTTAATGAAGAAATTTAAAGGATCATTAGTGGCTGCTATGAACGAATGTATGATACATTGGAAAATCTAGAGGAAATGAATGAATTTCTAGAGACATACAACCAACCAAGATTGAATGAGAAAGAAATCTAAAACCTGAGCAGACCAATAACAGGTAACAAGATCAAAGCCATAATAAAAAAGTCTACTAGTAAAGAAAAGCTTGGGACCTGATGGCTTCACTGCTGAATTTTACCAAACATTTAGAGCAGAACTAATATCAATCCTACCCACGTTATTCTGAAAAATAGAGATGGGAATACTTCCTAACTCATTTTATGAGGCCAGTGTTACACTGATACCAAAACCAGACAGAGACACATTGAAAGAACTAAAGGGCAATACCTCTGATGAATATTGATGCAAAAATCTTGAACAAAGAACCAACAAACCAAATTCAACAATACATTAGAAAGATAATTCACCATGACCAAGTGGGATTTCT